GGGGGTAGGGGAAATCTGAGGTGCCAGATAAGATGACTGCGTGCAGTCGTCGTCGGTCGATTACATCATGAAGCAGCACTTTAGCCGCAGAAAGGGCCACCATTGCGACCATGTTGCGGGGTGCAAGGCACTTTCAGCACATGGCACCACTAAGATGCTAAATGAATGAATATGAATAAACGTAGATAGAATAAGAGAAGACGGTCTTTAATTAAGAGTAGTGTGACCCTGTAGTATAATTTAAGGTACTTTAGATTATTTCAATATCATTAATTTCACAGAGTAAAGAAAACTCTAATATTATGACACAAGTCCTGGGTATTTAAGTAGACTCGCAGGCACTAAAATCAAGTTTTAGGCGCACCATAAGCATCTGGCATGCGCTCAATAGTAAACCTAAAATTTGAAGAGGTAAGAATAGATTAGAATATTTAAAAAAAAATTGAGTTTTGTATCATGTGATTAAATTTACAAGAATCTGACCTGTGTTGTGAAATGTACATGATGGGAACACCAGGGACTTTCCTTATTCTACGCTTAAGATCTTTGTCACATGTTGCAACAATGTAGCATTTGTGCTGCAAAGAAAAATTAAAAAATAAGAAAAATGCTGTTGGCTTTTAACATAGCACAAAAATTGTAAATCTATTTTATCAACATACCTGAGTTACTCTTTGAACTAGGCAATCGTCAGCATAAGTTCCTAAGTGCATACATGGTAATCTTTCAAACCTTGGATCTTTGATTATTCTAAGTGCTACTTTGTATTTTTGTCCTAGCTTTTCCAGCTCAGCCAGAACGCAATCGGTGATGTAGGGAATGCCTGTCGAAAAAGGGTTATGTGTAAGATTAACACATCAATTCACCCGATTTAACATAAAACCCAAATGTAAATGTACTATTAGCATCCAAACAAACAATAGCCCTTACATTTGGCATAAAGACAGTCCATCATATTTTGAACAATATCAAGTTTGTATTTGATAGAAAAATTTACAAAATTTGTATCAATTAAAATGCGATATGGGGGCCCCAATTGGGTATTGTACTGGAAAAATAAGGCGGATGAAGTTTGAGGCCTGAAAAGGAAATCGAGTATTACAAATGGTACTCAGGACAGATATCGTTCACATATCAAAAAGGATACTATTAAAAGCTTTGCACTCACGCATCAACAATTTTTAATTGATTCGGATCCTCCTTCCTTTTCTTTTTTGGTTCTTCCCGTTTAACTGCTTTGCTAGGTAAGAGAGGAAGAAATGTTAGTTACATTAGGATTACGCATTTTACTTTTAAAAGGGTGTCACAATTAATAGTGAGATGAAGACAAATTTTACTGTGCTTACATTCGAGGATCGCTCTGACTTATCATCTTTTTCATCTGAGCAAACCTCTGAGTAACGATCTTCCTCGTCTTCTTCGTTTTGCCCTAGGTAGAAAATTGGAAAACAACTATGAGCAGGGAAACAAAATATTTGTGTGGTCCCTTGTGCAGACAGCTTAACCTCACACTACAACGAACATGATGCTTCTATCATAGAACACATAAGTATTGCTTCTGATTCAAACCCTCAAGATTGTGCAAAATTTCGAACTTACCATTTTGAAAAAATATCAGACAGTCAAATAGTTTTGACAAATTTCAATGAAACGACTAAGTCAAAATCACGTGGGTCACTTCAAAGTATGTTGATACTTTGATGGCTGCTGACTACGGGGAGGGGGAGGGGGGCAGGGGGGTAGAACAACAGGAATGAGAACAAGTTGTACCACATAAGAAGCAATAAAAACGAATGTAAGGTACAATAAAATATAAATTAGCTGATAAATGGTGGTGTCTGAGAAACAGTTTGTGTTAATTGCACTAAATAGAGGTGTTTTATTAAGCATATTAATCTAAAAATACAAATAATAAGCGATTTTGCTGTGCTTATATTTGTGCTAGTGTTGGTGAACGATGTCGACGCCTGTTATTTTTTTGTTTCCTTTGCCAGCGCCTGCTGTGACAGACCAAAATACACTGTGCCTTTGGTCTGCTGGTCCTTATCCAATGTAAATTTTGTGAAGAATACAGCCAGATATTGTTGGTGTTTTGCGTGTAATCTAATTTATTGTTGTTGGTTTCCAAATTTTTATAAATTAATTCCATCTTAGGTAAAAGTGGTTCTTACTTTTGTCGTTATGATGCATTTGTCATTCCAGAATTAAATAATAGTCTAGGTTAAACAATAATATACTTCTTACTTACTGGCTGCTTTCTTTGAAAATTCCTGTCTTTAAAGATTAAAAAAAATCACTTTATGGTTTACTTGGGGACATGTTTTGGTTTTACGTGTTAATTAACATTTTACATTTGCATACTGTTACTGCCTATTTAGTTAACAGTGTTATAGGACAATGTAAACATGAATATTGATGTCATAATATTTCCTCTGGGCACAATTACATTAATTGTCAATTTTTTAGGCGGTTGACATTGTAACAATGCACGCAATTTCTTTGAAATAGTTCTTTACTACACATTCTCTCTTCAAGGCCACTACTGATTTAATACATTTTTTTCTGAAGCCTGTTTGAACATTATTGGTCTCTTTGTTCTTAAAACAGATAAGAACCTTTTACTTCCTTCATTTGCTTTAACTTGTCATGATCGTTACTTTTATCAAAACTACTCTTGACTTTCAATGGTAAACGAAGTTTACCTGAAATCGTTTTCTATTTTCAGTGTTTTCAAGATGGGAAATGCTGGGAGTAATGCAAGGGAGCGGCACAAGCCAGGTGAGATGCATGCTCCGTCATCACCAGGGAAAGATGGAGGGCAAGCATTTACATTTGACAAGAAGCCTAACAGCAGATTAGTGTACTTATCATCCACCGAAGAAGAGGAACAACCATATTATACCAAACCAACTTCCAACTCCTCTTCAATGGTATGATTTGTATTTCATTGTAAATTGTGTTCTTTCGTGAACCTGCCTTTAAAATAACCAATTGTAATTAGTTCCATCATCAGAATTATGAGTTGATATTTAATTCCAGCAACACTCTAAGGATCACTCAGCTGATGGAGAGTTTTCTATGCAACCATCTAGACCTCGCTCTAATACGATTTCTGAAGGAAGCAAGATTGAGGAACCACCTGGAGAAAAGGTTTTGCCAACTGTTTTTAAGTGGGATGGTGGTGGAAAGCAAGTTTACATAAGTGGAACTTTTACAGAGTGGAAAGTGATCCCAATGGTCAAGAGGTGAGGGTTGGTTAACTGGTTTACTGATCTTGATCCATGCAAGTAAAACTTTAATAGCTGTGTTTTTTATTTTTTTTGAACAGTCATGGTGATTTTGTTACTATAATTGACCTCCCAGAGGGGGAACATCAGTACAAATTCATGGTTGATGGAGAATGGAAACATGATCCTTCTGTGGTATGTTGCAACTTGACTTAAGAAATTGTTGTGTAAATGATAGATTGTGTATTCCATTTATTTAAATCGGTTCTCCTTTAATTTAATCAGAAAATAATACACAACGATGTGGGCACCAAAAACAACATGGTGTCAGTGAAGAGGTCAGATTTTGAAGTGTTCCAAGCCCTTGCCAAAGACAGTGAGAGTGTCAGTCAAACTATACAAAGTAAGGATATTGTTTTTGAGAGTAGTGATCTTTACATTCTTGTTCTTAGTTCAATTTTAATTCAAATTTTTCTTGCAGGTGATTATTGTCAAGAAATCCCACAAAACAAACCCTGGGAGAAAGTTCCTGGGCCTCCTATTCTCCCTCCGCATCTCCTACAAGTCATTTTAAATAAAGACACTCCTTTATCGGTAAGGAAAACTTCTGTTAAAATACACTTTTGTATCTTAAATATAAATTAAATTTATGATTTGTTTTTACAGTGCGAACCGACACTACTCCCTGAGCCCAACCATGTCATGTTAAACCATTTGTATGCACTTTCAATCAAAGATGGTGTTATGGTTTTATCTGCTACTCATAGGTACCGGAAGAAGTATGTCACAACTCTTCTTTATAAACCTATATGAATGATCAGTTTGTAACATGTACAGGGTGAGTGATTTGCGTTTCGCCATCAATTTTTCTGGGTATACTGTTCGCATGTAGGCGTGCGGGTGGACTTGCGTCTCGTTTCCAAGCAAACTGCGCCGAGCGAACAAGCAACCAGTTCGCACGCTGGCATGCGGTACAGCATACTCAGAAAGGAAAAAAAAGACGGTGGAAATCACCCATCCTGCAAAGACCGTTAAACATTCTGTTAGAAGAATACCCTTTGTGTATAATTTGGCAAACTGTAATGAATGACCTATTCTTGAATATGAGTTTTCAATCTGTGTCAAGCTGTTTTCATACATCGCAGTGAAAGGACAAAAAAAAAACCCCAAAAAAAACAACTCACCTTTCACTGCCAGCAAATTTGTCAATGCTTTCCTTTTACTGTTTTGGTCATTTTCAGTATGATTCCATCCTTTTTTTAAGTGGAGAATTTTCCCATGAAGTAATGTCAAGCAGGTGAGCAGACAGTCTCAATAGCAATTGATTTATTTTTTTGATCTAAAAATGTATCTTGTATGTATAGAGAAAAAATAATATTTCGCGGTCCAAAATATACTCACATTAATAATGTGACCTGTATCACATGTGGTACAGCTGTTATAGGTAAACCAGTTTGGAATCTTAAGCAGGAGTTGACTTTAAATATTGGGGCTTACTTATTTCATAGAAAATTGCTGTAATTTGTTGTAAAGTTGCTATTTATTAAGTAGATTTATGTAAATGCTGTTTTTTAAACTGTTTTTTTCTTTTTTTGTGGGGTGTTTGAGGAATGTGAGTATCTCAATAGTCTTTTCAATTCTTTCTTCTTTATCTATCTATTTTTGTTATGGCATTTTGAGTTCTGAAAGTTTTATTTCAAGATGAAGGTTTGAGAAAGGAAGCTTGAAGGGTCCCTGCAATTTCTCCAGGCTCTGGGATGAGGTAAGATCTGATGAATGAATGTTTGATTACGTACTTTTTTTTCTTTGTTAACTTAACTCTTAAGATACCTTGTTTCTCTATTTCTTGTCTTTTTTTACCTGAACCAATGGGGTCTTTCCTAGATTACATTTGATTGTATGTTAAAAATGGCATTGAAATAAATTTTGGTCCCAGCGAGAAACAAAGGTTCTGAAGATTGTAATTTTGGGAGTACACCAGTATTTTATTTATACATATAACTAATGTCTTTGCCTGGGACCATGTTTTAAAAAAATACAACACTCTTTACTGGGTCAAAATTAAGTGGAAGTTGCATGAGCTTCATTATGCCGTCAGTTTTCTAAGGTTTGGCAAAGAGTGATTTGAGATCTGGTACGGCTGCCTCCTGATCCTAAAAATTGGTACTATTGGTATTGTTATACAAGAAGTCTGTGCAGTTTTCTCAGGGTTTTGTTTTTCTTAATATGTTTGTCACATGGGAGAAAGGACATGATGACACATCAGTCATTGATTCTTTGTCATCAAATTTTATTTCATACCTGTACTTAGACCATGTAGTCAGCAAGTGCCATTGACTCTGCATTATATATTAAGTGGTCAATATAAAGAAAGTAGACTTAAGTTTAGTCGAACTACCGGTATTGTCATTTTGTTCTTGCCCATGTACCATTTTGCACTTGTCCCTTCATTTTTACTGTGCTGCTCTGCTGCATGAATTCACTTTTTCCATAATTGTGCAGTAAAAATGTTATGTATGTGATATGTATGTCATAGAATTGTTAAAATTCTAATAAAACTATGTGGTGGGGCATTGTTACAATATAAAATGAATGTCCTTCGTAATGTTTAGGTACTTTATTAAATAAATGCTGGTGAAAAATAATTTTTCCGATGATAAGCAACAATGAACAATAGAATTGGTTAATAGTGCAAATGACACTCTCATAAAATCTAAAATTTAAAAGATGTTCAAGTGGGTGTTATGAGCAAGCATGTATAAATAGAAATTATTAAATCATAGACATTAATACTATCTGATGAAAGCGGCACTGGGCAAAAGCTTGATGTTTCTGAGTAATGAAAGGAAAATGAAGAATAACATCAGTGCAGTGCAATCATTCATATAACTGATATTTAAGGAATGAAACTTACATTTCATTAAGTAAAATATTTTTCAATGTTTTACTGAACAGTGTTAACCTAAAACAAAGAAGCCAGAATTAATGGACTTAAAGCTCAATAACGTAAACAAGTATGCTCTCAGCTATGATGCACTCTACTTACAATATCATCAATCTTGAGAATGCTCCTAACAGTTTCAGTTGCAAAGTTGATGATGCTGGTCGTCACAAGAAGAGGTTGGACCACATTTTCTTCCAAGATGTTAGTAATAGCCCCCTTCCTAACATTAATCCCTGCAGTTGTTTCACCTTCAGCATGGCGATTTCTTAGTTCAGTAACAGTTGCAATGGGATTTAAGCCTGCATTTTCAGCAAGTGTTGCAGGTATTACTTCGAGAGCATTAGCATATGCCCTGTAAAGCAATGAATTCATAAATACATGGATGCAAAAAGGATAGAAAGGAAAACAAAAAAATATTCACACAAACCTGAAACAGTACGCATCTACACCAGTTACTGTCTGAGCATATTGGGTCAACTTGATAGCTACTTCAGTTTCCGGGGCACCCCCACCAGCAATAAGGGCCCTAGAACAAAAATGATATCCATGAAATATGAACTTGCATAATGGTATTTCTTTTTCATAAACATGGTGAACTCAGACAAAATTAGTTATCAAAAGACAAGTCTTCAAATGTGTTGTATGAAAATTGAGACAAGCATCATTGTTATATCAAACTTCAGACAAAACTTAGAACATACTTCTCCTTAACCAGGCAGCGAATCACACAGAGTGCATCATGCAGGGAACGGCCAGCCTCTTCCAAGACGAGTTTGTTGGATCCTCTAACAAGAACTGTCATAGTTCGTCCCATATTCTGGATACCAGTAACCTTGACAAATTTGCCTGTACCAGTCATCATCTCTTCACACAACTCAGCATTAACCAGATTTTCAGGCAAGAAGTGATCCAAACTAGCAATTGGTCTGCATCCTAAGGTCTAAAATGTTTTGAAAAAATATTAGATATTTTATATTGTAAGCACAATTATTAAGAAACAGGCATGCCGGGGCAACTATACCTTGCTGACAAATTCAATGTCTTCACGTTCAATGTCTTTAATAACCATAACTTTGATTTTGTCCAAGAAATGTAGGGCAAGATCAGACACTGCATCTCTGAGGATTGATTTTTGAATAAGCAGAACATTGCATCCTGTCTTTTTAATCTGTTTGACAATGTTCAGGATGTAAGCTCGTTCCTCTTTCAAAACTCTGTCCATGGCAGCATAATCTGACACAATAACATTATGGTCCATCTGAAAAAAAGCATAGTCTTATAATTTTTCTTCCTGGTTATTTAAAAAAAAAAACTTCATAACAAAATTTTAGTCATAAAACAGGCTAAAATATCAATGAATAAGGCATCTGAAACTTACATCTGTCTTGGGTGGGGAGATACAAAACTGAATAAGACCAATTTTGGCCTTTTCAACCTTCTTTGGGCCATTCACACCAGCAGACTTTTGAGTGAACACCAAACCTTCAATTAATTCTGTATCTTCAACAGTTCCTCCTAGTTTTTCAATGACTTTGATGTCTTTTAAGTCAACTGACGATGGTTTCTGTGGGTCTACCACCTTCAGAACAGCATCAACTGCAATCGGAGCAAGTAGACTTGACTGCTGTGCAACTACCTTAGAATTGAGAGAAGTGGAGGCTGATTTTACAAGAGATTCCCTGGAAAATAACCAACAATGAAATCAAGTAAACTGAACCATGATGAAAAGTTTAAAGAGTTTAAAGAAAGTTTAAAGAAGCTAGTCCTTTACCTATCAGTGAGATTCACTGGTACAGACATTCCTCTAATAATCTCAACAGACTTTGTAGCTGCCCTTTGAAAGGCATCAGAGATTGCAGTTGGATGAATACCCTTTTGAAGCATTTTTTCTGCTGCCTCCAGAAGGGCTCCAGCAACAACACAAACAGACGTAGTGCCATCACCTGCCTCAATGTCTTGAGCCTTTGACAGCTCAACCAGCTACAAAAATCAGAATCAAATTAGTAGAAAAAACAAGCTATCAGAAGAACCACAGAAGATGGTGAGCTTACCATTTTGGCAGCTGGGTGGACAACATTCATTTGCTTCAAAATGGTGGCACCATCATTAGTGATGGTCACTTCACCATTGGCTGACTGAATCTGTCAAAGAGACATGCAAGAATTAGAATTATTATCAATGAGCACATATAAATAGTGTCTGCAGTACCGACTTACCATTTTGTCCATTCCACGTGGACCCAAACTGGTACGGATAGCATCAGCAACAGCTGAAACACAAATCAATAACATAAGGATGACAGATTTGCAAAATGAAGAAATATTATGATGATCCATTAGTCTATTCCTAACTAATAAATAATAGTACACAAGTTTTGTGACAATAAGTGACGGAACTGAAAATAGATTCATTATGGGCTTTTATATGACTCATAGGTTGGGTCATACATGTAAGAAAAATACAATCATAAAAGTAAGGGGTACGCTGACAGTTACATAGACAAAATGCTCATGGCAAAGTAAAACAAAAGCAGCAAAATAGAGGAAAGGGAAATGCCGAAAATTTTAAGGTTAGGTTTGATAGTGTTACATTAGATGCCAGTCAGGAAATTACTGCGATGAGTTGACGGTGAGTAGCATTACTGATGTAACCACTAAAATCGAAAGTAGAAAAATTCGAAAGGTGACAAATAAGCGACAATAAACAAGGATATTACCTTTCCCCGCTTGGATGTTGCTGGCTCGAATGTCGGCAGGTTTGCTTTTATCCTTAAAAGCGTTGGAATGAACTCTACTTCCATCTCCGGAGCCCTTTACTGCAGTCATTTTGAGTTGATTTCTTTAGGTTTCACTCAGATATTGAACAAATTCGTACCAGGTGCACGATGGCAACGGATTATGATACGCCTGAGTCCGGTGACCGATCGCTGCCGCCGCGAAGCTGTTGCTGCGGTAGCAGTAGTAGCAGCATTCAGTTGTGTGGGTGTGAATGTGTGTGTGCCGCTCCAGCAGAAAGACTCACAAAGGCGAAAGAGGTAACAAGTACAGTCACACGCAAGCAATAGCGATTTCCACCGATTCAATCCAAATTTAATTCAGTCCACACGATCAAAAAAAACACTGGACGAAATTGAGTAGCTTCTCTTTAAGGAATTATGGAAAATGTGTTGGATAGTTCCTATTTTAGTCATAAAAGATGATTCGTACCCAGGCCGAAGCAGCCCGGCGCTCCTATAGCCAAATAACATTGAAGGTAGAGTTTGTTGTGTTGGTAGCCTTGTTCTACGTAAGGTGTTTACCGGAAATATTTCCCGCAGTTTTCAGATATGTTAGAATGAGCGTCTTTTTGTGTTATAAACATTTTATTTGTGATTATGTGGTTATTTAGATGACAGAGATGTGACTGGTCCGGGATTGTATGTGTTTTGATGTCGAATGTATCGTGGAAACCCTAGTTTTACTTCGTAACCGAAGATTTGTGGGAGGCCTACTTCCTAGGTAGGCCCTCAGCCAAGACTCTGCCGACTCGGACCATTTCTCAACATTTAAGGTACTAGTACTTCAGCGAACATGTCTACGAGTTCTCCAAAACTTCTTCTATGTTATGAATGTTCAATTTTGGACGTAATTCTTCGTTATGCCTTAAAATCTCCGCTTGTCTGTTTTTGAGGCTGTGTGTGCATCTATTACCAACATTACAAGGCGAAAGACATGATTTTACTCTACTGTTTTTGAAATTAATATCAGAATAACTAAAACAAATAAAATCTCTCTTCTTTTTGTCGTTTTGGGTTATCCTAGTTTCGGATTCACATGGTTTTGCAGCCGTTAGTCTAGGGTACCGGCGAATTGATACGCTTGGTGAAGCTGAAACATCTCTTGGTGGTGTGTGAGGTCGCCCAAGCCCGATAGTTTACGCAATATTTTTGTGTACTTGACGCCCCTTCTCATTATTATTATGTTCATACTTTCACAAGTTCTATCGAAGATATTTTGATGGCAATTTCGCGGAGTTTTTTTGGTATTGTTGTGGTAAACTTACCTTGGTTTAATGGCAAACCAAGAGCAGAGGACATCTAAACTTTAAGTAGTGTTGACAACAGTTCATTCATTGTTGTTACCATTCCACATCTCTTTTGAATCAGTTTTAAATGAAGAATAGGAAACTTCTTATCTCATCTATAAACCTCACTTCTTAATTAATTTTTTCTTTTTACCCTGTTAGAATTTTACATAGTTTTAATTTTTTTCCTTTTTAAAAAGTGAGGTAGATGAATGTCTCCATAACCTGTCTTATTGTTGTCTTTTACCCATTGGTGTATTTAATTTTGCTCATTTTTGTGTGTTTTAATTTGACATTATTTTTTTTGTCATACCTTTTGCAGTGTTGATGCTTCAGTAACATGTCACCACATGAAATTGTATACCCTCAGGGGTGCCGCCCTGTATCGGATGATTTGGGCCCAGATGAATTAATCAGGAGGCTCAAGGTATGTGTTATGGGTGGCAATCACTCTGTTCTCTACTGTATCTTGTGGTTTTCACTACTTTAAAGTTCATGATTATGAAGTAACAGGTTCACATTTTTATGAAAGAAATTATTCATTTATTAGATTTTTATGCAATGAAGAACTTCTTGTATGTAAACTAACATTAAAATTTTTCTTTTCCCCAATTTAGACTCTTGCCCACACCTTGCAGGCTATGGGCCAAGATGAAGGAGCGTACCAACAGTATATTCCCCTTGCCCTACACTTAGCAGAGGAACACTTTTTGACTCATCAAAGCCGTGATGTACAGTTGCTCATCGCTTGTTGCATAGCTGATGTGCTTCGTGTCTATGCACCTGAAGCTCCCTATAAAGATCCTGAACAAGTCAAGGTATGCTGAGTAGTAATTTTATCTTGAACTTGAACAAACCTAAATCTTATCTCTAAATGCAATCTTCATTTGTTTCAGACAATATTTTTGTTTCTCATCAAGCAATTATCTGGATTGCGTGATCCTAAGGATCCTGCATTCAAACGTTATTTCTATTTGCTTGAGAATTTAGCCTATGTCAAATCATTCAACATGTGCTTTGAATTGGAGGATTGCCAAGAAATTTTCTGTAATCTCTTCCAGCTTATGTTCAAAATTGTGAAGTAAGTGTCACAAAAGTTAGACTCTATCTCTGAACTATTAATATGACAGTTGTTTTTTCTTCTATTTTCTTAATTTCTCTATACACATATTCTCTTGATAATAGAAGCTCTTTTAAAATTTCAGCGATGAACACTCTGGAAAGGTTAAAAGCTTTATGTTGGATGTTTTGTGTCCTCTGATTACTGAATCAGATATAGTGTCAAATGAATTATTAGACATCATATTAATGAATATTGTGGAGCCTAATAAATCACAAAAAAAGAATGCTTATGCCCTTGCAAAGGAGCTCGTTGTGAAGTGTAGTGACACACTAGAGCCTTATATTCAAGCAGTAAGATTTATTTACTATCCTGAATGAAAAAAATAATCTTTTCTTGAAAGCTGGATTTTCCATCTTATATAAAATCTCTTTGTTTTATTTCAGTTTTTCAACCATGTGCTAATTCTTGGAAAAGAAGAACGTGGCTTGGGGATAGCATCTAAAGTGTATGACCTTATCTATGAGCTTAACCACATTTGTCCGTCTGTCCTACTCGCTGTTTTGCCACAGTTGGAATGCAAGTTGAAAAGTGCTCAAGAAGTTGAGAGACTTGGGGCTGTTTCTTTACTGGCCAGAATGTTTTCAGAAAAAGATTCAACTCTTGCCAGAGCACATCATCAACTTTGGAAAGCTTTCCTTGGCCGGTAGGCTCTCACTCAAAAATTATTATGCTGTTACCATTCCCTCTATGGGATGGGATGTTAGTGTTTTGGTCGTAATTCAAATATATATCTATTTGCAGTTTCAATGACATCAGTGTCACTATTCGCATAAAATGTGTGCAGTACTCAATGCATTTTCTACTGAATCACCCAGAATTACGAAAGGAATTAACAGAAACTTTGAAATTACGTCAGCATGACTCAGAGGAAAATGTTCGGTAGGTCTTATGTGCTGCTGAAATCTCTGAAGTTCCCTATTTTAGTACTTTTGAACTGACCTGTTTATATTATTACTTAAAGGTATGAGGTTGTGATGGCAATCGTTGCAACTGCTAAGCGAGATTTTGAAGTTGTGTCAGACAGTGAGGATCTACTTGAGTATGTCAAGGAAAGGACTCTTGATAAAAAGGTAAGATTACACTTGATGCATTTTTATTAATATTGCAGTCTCTGCATGAAATACTAAAATTGATCTCTACTTTCAGTTCAAAATTCGAAAAGAGGCTATGTCTGGGCTTGCCATGATCTACAAGAAACACTTGAATGATTCAGATGTACCACAAGCAACTAAAAAAGCTGTTACTTGGATCAAAGATAAAATTCTACATGGTTATTATATGACTGGAATGGAAGATAGGTTGGTAGTTCTCTTACTCTAAAATTCAATCAGGAAATGTTCTTGCAAAGGCCTTATGGTTTCTTTCTTCTTACAGGCTTTTGGTCGAGAGACTGCTCAACACTTGCTTAGTTCCATATCAACTTCCAGCTGAGGAGAGAATGAAGAAGCTGTACCACCTCCTTGGTACAATTGATGATCATGCTACCAAGGCATTTGTTGAATTACAAAAGAATCAATTAGCGTAAGTTTTCATAAATTCGCACATATTTGATCTTTTTCTTTTGAGACAGGAATGAGTCATTTTCTTACTATTGTTGATACTTTTAAATCAATTATGTTATTTTTATTCTAATACAGTGTTCGGAAAAGTGTTGGAGAGTGGTTGGATATTCATAGGAGACCAGTTTCACCAGAAAGGGATCGTGACATTCAGCAACGCATTGTAGCAATATCCAGATTTCTTCCAGAGCCTGTTAAAGCCCAAGAATTTCTTACGAAGTTCTCCACTAATCTTCTTAAAGACCAGAGTCTTCTCGTTGGAATGGAAGCTGTTGTAAGACCTGACATTTCATGCAAAGAGTGTGCTGATACTACGTCTTTAATTTTGAAGAAGCTTGGTCAACCTGTTATGACAAATTTGTATTACAATACTGTTAAAATGTTGCTGGAACGAATATCTTCAGTAATGGTTGATCAGCAAGCATTAAAGGTAAAGAACCCTTTGCACATTTGTACTTCCACAGATTGCTTGTCTTCCAATTTATCTAATCTAATGATTTTGCCAACTTTCTCAGATACTGGTTGGCTATGTTGAAGATTGCTTAAAAGGTGGCAATCTAATTGAAGAAGTTGGCCTTCATCCCAACACAGCGGGGGAGCGAGGATTGAAGTTATTGGTGGTAGGCTATCAGCAATTGCCTCATTATTATCTCAAGTTGTTCTTAATTTTCTACTAAGATGTGACTTAACTCTCTTTTAGATGTTGTCCTATGTGTTTCCATCACATTTTCTTCACCAAGACATCCTTTCTCATTTGATTTCATTTTTGGATTTGGAAGATGAAGTTGCTCCACTAGTATTGTCTGTGTTGACGTTTTTGGGGAAATATCGTCCCATTGGTAAGCATTTCACTTTGTTAATTACTAATCTAATTTAGGTAATCTAATTTTATCCTTTCATAAATTAATCATGAAATGAACTACATGAACTAATGTATCCCTTGCTTGTTAAGGTGAACAATTCCCAGATATTGCCCAAAGCTTGATTCCCACTTGTAAGAGGTTGTCTGTTGAAGGCACACCAAAACAGGCAAAGCAAGCTATTAGGTGCCTTTATATCAATGTTATCAACAATCAAGACACACTTTTTGCTGAAATCCTTGAGGTATCCTCTTGTCCTGCATGTGCGGATTTTGTAATTTTCAATGCTTGCTTACTTATCCTTATTTCTACCTTTTCCAGAGAATAAAAGAACATTTAGAACCATCGTCAGAACATTACAGAACAGCTATTGTTGCCCTCGGCCATATTGCTTACAATCTTCCTGATAAAAACCCAGTGCAAATTAAAAACATAGTGTCAAGAAAGGTATTTTGATGTAGTCCAAATATCTTAGTGTTACCATGACTTCTACTCATCCTTCATTTTAAAAAATTTTTCTTCTCCCATTTTAGATTGTTAAGGAATTGCTTGTAAAGGAATATGTTGACTGGATTGGTGTTGACCATGATGATCCATGGTGCAGAGAAGATGCCTTGCCTGAGGAAACACGATGCCGTGTAGAGGGAATGAAAACAATGGCTCGTTGGCTCTTAGGACTCAAAGCTGATACTGTTTCTGCCCAAAAGACCTTCAGAATGCTCAATGCTTTTATAGTACAAAAAGGCGATCTTTTACAATCAAATAAATTGAGTAAAGCAGAGATGTCATGGCTACGACTGGCAGCTGGTTGTGCTATGCTGAAAATATGTGAACAGAAAGGTGTGGGCGATCAGTACAGTGTGGAACAGTTTTACAACCTTTCCCAACTGATGGTTGATGAAGTTCCTCAAGTCAGAGAAATATTTGCCACTAAACTACACAAAGGCCTCGGTAAAGGCATTCCCAACAAATGCTTGCCCCTGGATTTTATGGGTTTTTATGCTTTAGCTGGTCTAGAAACAGAAAAGCGATTAAAAGTTCTGATTAAAAATTACATGGTAGCAGATATTAATAAAAGAAGAGATTACATCAAACAACTTACAATGGGTGCATCTGCTGGTATATATTAGTAATTTTGTCAATAATTATATTATGTATTTATCTGTTTTCATCAAATTTTAATCAATTATTGTTTTGCAGCGTCCATGGAAAAGGCAATGAGCCAACTTAAACACATTTTGCCGGATTATATGCTAGTATTTGCCGTCCCTGTT